AGTAAGTCGTGATGATTACATAGTTATTGACCAAAATATAAAAACATAATAAAGGCAACAGTTTTGTTTGTAAATGTATTACTTAATTTGTACAGATAATAAACTTACGTGTATCGTAAGAATTTGTTTTGAATACATGGATGTATTATAAAATTTATTTTTATCTTCAATAAATTACGGAATTGGCAAAAGCTATAATAAAACATCACATTTACATATGTATGTTTATGTATTTTGTTTATATACATTTTTGTACAATACAGATAAAAGTCACTGACACACGTAAAATCTGTAAAATATAATTATCGGAAATGTTATTTCTTTGTTTTAAGTAAAATTCATAATTCGAAGAGAATTCAGTTTGTGGAATTTTGCGAAGTTATCGTTTCGTATGACTTATTACGCTTTGTTGACAAAAAAAAAGTTTATTAGTTACAATGTATATATTTGTTTACAGCATAATGTTGCGTAGATAAATAATTCGAAAACCGTGACCTAGTTGCAGATCTGTAACACTGCCAAGTGGGATTTAACCTACGTAATCGGACAAACATTTATTTGTCTTTTGTACTCGTAATTTTATTACTATTATAATAACGAAGTATCATTATGGAATGGAACCTGTGACACTTTCTGACTTTATTATTTTTTACGATTAATTTTCGCCGATAACGTAACAGTCGAAAATCTAGTTCAAACTCGAGATGTTGATATCTAACCACTGAACTATCGCGCCTGTAACGAAAATATCGCAGTAAACAAAGTCGATGTTGACGCTTCGTAGTTTATCCTGAAATATGTAAAAACATTTTATGAGCCGTACGCGAAATACCTTGGACACTTTCCAAAGTAAATTTGAAATAAAAAAATATTCGGCCCAGGAATAAATGTGTCGATCCGACAACGGTTTTTGCCAAAGGAATTTTGTTGTTCGAAAGTTGTAAACATAAAATATAAATTTAAAACAGTAATGGTTGCGATAAAACTTTAATAATTTTAATAGTAACAAAATTTAAAAGAAAGTAATTGTCGTGCAGTGTCAGGAATTAATGATATTGGCACAAATAATATTAGAAATTGCTCCACTAAAAAAAAGTTTGAATTGAAGATTTTGAATTTCGAAACATCAATACAATAGAACTGGCAAGCTTATCATCTTCTTTTATACTTTTTTTTATTATTTAATCTTAATTCATTTTAAATATTTAATTTCGTTTTTCATTTTCATAATTCCGTTTAATGCATAAATGACTAGATCAAACTTCGTGCGATAAATTCTTTTGTAACAACAAAATTACCCACGCGATATAAACACGACAATTTTCTAGTTAACAATTCAATTGTGTCGTCCATGTCACAGACAAATTGTGTACAACGCCCATTTGGGATTTGCCTAGAGTCTAGACAAATAATGTTAACGAATTTATTCTTAAAGTATTGTGTTACGGCATTTATGTATATTCGTAATAGTAACAATTCAGTGGTGGCATTCTTATTAAACGTATTTTCGTCTGCCCATAAAATGACACCTTTATAGTGTCAAAATTTAAAACGCAATGTAAATAAGAGTTCATTTAATCGAAAGTAATTTTCCGGGATGAATAACAAAATGGCGATATAAGCAATTTGATGATGACATCAACGCGATCTAAATAGAGATTGTTGATAAGCTTTTTGTATGAAAAACGTTTTGATATTAATTCGGCTGTTATCGTGTTATCGGCCTATAGAAGGTAATCGCTAGATAAACTGTACAATGCGAGCCATTAAGCTTGTACGCATCTTTACCTGCTAATATTAATGTTTTATATAATAAGATCTTTTGGTAGTATGTATTATAATTATATATTATAATAGTATATAAATTAGCCAAAGGATAATTAATCTTTCAACAGACCAGATATTGTAATATTCAGATGTAATTAAAAATAAATAAAGTTTATAATCTATGATCATAGATTAAAAAATGCGATTTAGGTGTTTTCTGTTCTTTGATGATTGATATTCGATTTTTAAATGTTCCTATTTGGTTTATTATTTTTAATTCTCTTTTGTCAATGATTTTTCTTTGTATAATGCCAATATTTAAAATATATATAAATAAAAAGAAAATTGGCATGTCCTAATGACGTGAAGACTAAATTGCTATAGCTATGTTGTTTAATTGTATTTATGCGTAATTATAAACTTAGTCGTAATGACAATGGTATTTTGTTATTTCGCATGTTTAATTTTAAATCCGTATAGATTTTAAAGATTATTTAAAAAAATGATATTGGAAACAATAGTATGGTTCTTCTGGGTTATAAAAACATAGACAAAGATTTACGAATAAAATACCTTTATCAATATTTAAAATTTGCTATGTCAAAAACATCAATTAAATTATTATACATTTTTTTTTATATTAATTTAAATAAATTTTATAACAAATCATTTTGGATAATTTCTAGCGAGTTTTTTTTTATTAAATGATAACAAAGCCAAGGTCGACGATTTTGGCGCTTATCGTGGAGTTTATGACGTATTAATTCTTGTATGTAGAACTTTATCTATGTTTGTATAATCTGTGAATTATAATCATAAAAATCATAATGACGCTTGTAATTACATATTGTTGTCTCTGTTTTGTCAAAGAGAATGAAAGGGATAGCAATATATGTAGAAATCTATTGTTGTCCCTTTTTTCCATTTGAAAAAAGAAAAGATAAAAATATGTTTATGTATTGTCTTGTTAGATATTCATGGTGTTTGATTATAATGTGTCGTGGCTCTAAAATTGACTTATTAATTTGTTTATTTGGTGCAATAATTAAAAAAATGTATGTTAGGATTACATTAGAAAGTAAGATGTATTAAAGGAGTTAATTTAGTAAAATTGTCTATGGTTGTCAAAAATTATATTGATAATTGTAATTTATGGTTTTGCAAAATTATAAAATGTACTCCTAGTCCACAAATATTCGATTTGTAATTATTTTGGCTGTCTCGTTCTTCCTTTAACACCCAAAGACTGATTTTATGTTATTTTCAATTTTCTGTCAAAATTATTTTTAATCTTCATTTTGTGATTACTCAAAAAAGATGTATAAAAAATGGCCCAAAATATAAATTTGTGAAGTAAACATTTACTCTATATAATCTAATTAAAATTGTAGCTATCTTTTACTATATTTAAATATTTTCAGATGCATATTGTAAATTGGTCCCCTCTTAGATTTAATATCTATTAATCGTTTTGACTCTGTGTACTGCTTAATATAACCATAGAGGTCTATTGCAGTGACATTTGTATTTACAGTCAAACTTGGATAAACGTGAGTCCACACTCTCTAAGTAGCTCAGTATCTCCGTAATGGCGATCGTAAGTCTAGACCGGAGAATGACTCTCGCTTAGGTTAGGTACGACTGTTTATAGGTACCTATTGTTGTCTCTGGATCGTCATAGAGAAAGAAAGAGATGATGATATGTATTGAATGCAGCGGCCGTGGAGTTCTACATTAAAATATTGTATTAGTGATTGGATATAGCTCAATTTATTTATAGCAAAACATGTATGTAGATAATGTATTAAAAAATCTAATATATTTTGATTGATAGCTGTCATTATTTAAACAACGATCTGTGCCATATTCTTTTATATTTTATTATCTGTTTCGTTTCGAAATTTAAACATTTTTTTTGTATGATATCCAAAATACAATCCGATTTGATTTTACCAAAACTTCGACACAAATTTGACTTGGGTTAACTTTATCTTTGTCAAAAGAAAAACGCTGTATAGACAGAAAATTATTTTCTATGATGATTTTTTAAAATATTATTGTATTTTTTGAATCACAACCTTAAATCAGTGCCAAAAAAATAAAAATATTTAACGGTGCATCGAATTAAGGTACTATTCTCATAGTTGACTATAACCACAGAAGTAGAAATTGAATAATTATTATACTGGCAATATCTAAAATAACCAAACGGCACATCCAAAATAAATAGTGTTGCCATTTTTCCTTACTGTATTTTTCAGAATCAATGATTTTTTAATACCATCGTAGTTTTTTTTTTTTAAATGTTAAGCAGTCATGATCAAGTCAATGTAAAGTTTTGCACTTTATTAATTTATTTGACAGATTACTCAAAAAAAACTCAATAATGTAATATTAAGCGACTAATATATTTTTTTTCCATTTTAAAACAAAATGTGTGACGCTTTGTGCTCTTACGCGTATAACACTATTTTTGTATAAATTAATCCTTCACTAGGTTAAATTATAATAATGCATTTATTGTTAACGAATTTATTTTGAGTTATTTATTTAAAAAAAAAACTTCCTTTGTTATTACTGTATTGGACAGTTATTATTCAAAAGATATGTACGATGTATAATACAGTAAAATATATAAAAAAACGTATCTTTTATTTTCCCGACATTTTTACTAAGTAGAAAAAGGGGCAAAAGTTTTCTCAACGTTAGCGATCATCTAAATTGCTTATAGCTGAAGCATTGTGATAAGATTCTGCCAGTTTAAAAAAAATATTGCTAATAGTAGGTAGATAGTCGCCTCATCTACAAGGAAGTTATTAAATGATTCGAAGAGATTTATTAAACAGTAACTATGAATACGACAACAAATTGAGACGAAATCGCGTTTTATTGTAAGGAATATTTATTAGCTCAGGGTCTACATTATTACCATTTCCAAAATACAGAATCTTTTATTGCTAAAAGGTCTAAGATTGTTTCTCCTAAAATGAGTACAAGATGGTCAACAGTACGAAAGAAAAAACGCGTTACAGTAAGGGAAAGTAATTAGAGACAATATAAGAAAACAAAATAATTTAATTTTTATTTCCCGTTTTGCTTTTCGACATTAATATAGTTTTTACTTTTACATTTTTTAAAAGAAATGAAGTAAAATAATAATTTTGCGACTTAATGAGCATAAAAAAAACTTCAAGAAACACTCAAATATTTTTAGTAGAGAGTTGTTTCCGAACTTAATTTAGTATCAACTGTCATTCTCATTATCATGGCGGAGGACGAAGACGGTGTTTCAAATAAAAATTCACCACAAAATTCAAACGATGCGGACTCGAATCAGGAAAACGAACAGAATGCTGCAAAGCCAGACCTAGGAATTGAAGAAGCGAAGTATAATAGCCAAGAAAATGGCCATACGTCGCCCACAAAGCCCAAAAGTTCCTCAACTAGTAAGTGCTATAGAGATTTGTTTTTTGTTTCGCAAATGTATGACATATTTAAAGATATGTAATTTTTTTAGAGTCAACCGGGGCCGTGCGTAAGGAAGAGAATCCGTTTTCGTTTCGGCACTTCCTCAAGAGAGATCTTTCGTTGCCGGGACACTCTACTTACGAGCACACTGGTGCCAGGCCTAAGGTTTACTCAAACACAGTGCAACATTCGCCTACTAAAGTAGACGTTCACACAGAATCTAGACGTGAGAAAAGTCGTCAGCCTGATAATCAAACCAAAGATAAAACCGGCGAGGGTGCCAGCCATCGCCTAAGTGATAACGTACCTTCGACTAGTTCAATGGACGTACCGTTTAGTGCAGTAGGGACTTCAAATTCTAAGAATAACTTTTATTCAGAAAATGATAATGTACAGTTTTATCATAGACCGAATTTGGCATCTGAGCCGATGGGGATGCCGTCCCTGCCTGACTTTGTACAAGACCACATCCTAGTGGAACAGGCTTACTTACATTCAAATGGACCGATTTCATTGGACTTGGATAATCTACCAGACTTTACATTTAATACTAACTTTAATGCTGGTTCATCTTCATCGTTGGGAAGGAGAAATGACAATAATTATGTTGGAAATAGAGGCTATGATTATGATCCATATATGGGGGCGTCAACATCTTCTGATTCAGGACCATCAAACAGGAACATCCCACTGGACTTGCCGGCAGGGGCTGAAGCAGCCGGCCCTGTACCACTCGACCACCCCATGCATCTCAGTTTAGATCTTACTGAATCTGTGAATCCTTCAGATAGAAGGAATATGTCACCCAGAAACCAGTTTCCATTGGATCTGCCACCAAATGCAGGTAAACATTTTTGTATTTTAATATATTGACTCTAGCAGGGTTGAACAGGCAGGCTAACAGTAAAAATTGAGCTAAAATATTCAGTTTTTTAAAAACTTGAATCCCAACCCAGGAGAATGGGAAAGCCATGAAATTGATTTAACTGATACAAAAGTTTTATTGTAATTTTTTTTTTTCTATATCATAAGGTGGCAAATTAGTGAGCGGCCACCTGAAATAGCTGAAGTAGCGAAGTGACCGATGCCCATAGACATACGCAATTTCATATGCGTTGCCTACCTTTAATCAACGGAGGAGAGGATGCACAGAAAGAAAATATATTCCCTTTCCATGCATCCTCTTATCTGGAAAGTCCACTTCCACTTCCCATCCTTTCCTTATAAGAAAAGGATGGGAAGGGTTGAGGACTAAATTAGGTCTCCCGGACGCACACTCATCAGACGAAACGCGGTATTGCTTCCACTTCACGCCTGTCTTCTGTGTGGTGGTGGTATTTCACCGGGCGAGCCGGGCCAATTCGTGCAAAGATGTTAAAGCAGGTTCTATCACTCTTAAATTAGTATTAGAATCACATTCAATAGCCATAATCTTCATTGCTTATTGTTACTATAAATTAAATATGAAATTAGCATACAATAGGTCTGACATATTGATTTCCTCATAGAATAGGTTTAGCTTAATTATAGATACATATATTCTAACAAACTTATATAATGTTGTACAAAAAATACTATGGACAGTTAACAGTTTTCTTTTGAAGTTTGAGAATGACTTTAAAACGTACAAATCTTATATATAAAATTCTCGTGTCATAATTTTCGTTCCCATACTCCTCCGAAACGACTTGACCGATTCTCATGAACTTTTGTGAGCATATTGAGTAGGTTTGAGAATCGGCGAACATTTTTTCATCCCCCGAAATGTTAAGGGTAGTCCACCCCTAATTTTTTTTCTTTAGATAAACACGCGGACTGAGTCGCGGGCGACAGCTAGTACTAAATTATAAAATTTCTTGGTGTTATGTCTTTTTTTTAATTTTATTTTTAGTGTTGGAGTAATCTGTTTATAAATCATTTTTAGATGGAACATAGTTTGATAAAGAATAACAGATAATTACCATTATTAGAATTATGAAAAATGGTTAAAATAGGCTGAATAGATTTGTATGAAGTTTGGAACAGACCTAGATTACAGTCTGAAATAGGACAGAAAGGCAATACAGTTTCTCTTTAACATGGACTAAGTTGCAGATGTCAGCTAATGATGGTCATGTTACAGGTGCTGAATCTAAACGTCTACCGGATTTTCTGCCTGTACACCCTGGTAGAACATCTCCAGAACCGGAGCACCAGGATGAGCAGCTGCAGCAGATCATGAATGAGCTGGAGAGAACCAGGTATTATGAACATTTATCAATCTATAATATAGTGTATGCATAAACATAGTGTTGTTTGTCTCGAGTGTTGTCCATAAGTACATGCCAGAGAGAGGGGACGTCAGTCGATGTCAGACCTTTGGACCGGTAACACGTGTCGGTACGTGAACGAGCCAAATAGAGCGCAATTAATGCTCCATATATGATAATAGTTTACACCACTTAGATCCTATAATCCCATATCATAAATCGAGTTTAAGTAGATTAAGAAGTAGTAAGAAATTTATCAGACTTTTATATAAAATTATGTTAAATTTTACCACATTCAAAACCAATAAAATTGGTAGTTGAAATCTATATTTCTTATATTTTTTAAATTTAACTTCCAAATTAAAACAGTTAATAGTATTCATTAAGTTAATTTAAATATAGTGCCAATGGTGAAACTGGGGGTTAAGTTTATTTACATAAAGGCCATTACAATTTTGTTTAAGTATAGAGGTTTTGTTTTATTATAAGGTGGTAAACGAGCGAGTGCCCAACTGAAATTGCTGAAATATCGAAGTAACTGTTGCCCATAGACATAGACATTCGTTATTGCAGATGTTCATCCGAAAATCCATTTCCATTTCCTAACCTTCCCTTATAAAAAAAATGGGTAGGAAGTGAAAGGGGACTAAAATTAAGCCTCCAGTACTACAATTATCAGGGGGATTCACGAGATTGCTTCCACTTCAATCCTCTTTTCTGTTTTATAAGAGAGTAATTTCATCATCATCAGCTCACTATACGTCCCCACCGAGGGGTTCGGAGCCTACCCTAAGTAAAGGGTGATTAGGCCATAGTCAACCACACTGGCCCAGTGCGGGTTGGTTGACTTCACACATATCTTTGAATTACTTCTCAGATATGTGCAGGTTGCATCACGATGTTTTCCTTCACCATAAGAACGTCGGATAAATGTACATATGTAAATCGGAAATCGAAAAACACGTTGGTACATGGCGGGATTCAAACCCAGGATCTGCAGATTGCAAGTCAAGTGACGGTGACTCAGTGGTCAAGCACTTGACTTGCAATCAATCAAGTTTGAAGAGAGTAATTTAATAAATTGATATTACTGACATGGTCAGAATTAAGAATTGGAGCTGGCTGTGGTGAAACTAATACCATGCAAGATATGTTCTAGTGGTTAACATCTATGTTTCTGTTCATTTAGGTCGGAGTTATTCACGGAGCGAAGCCGACGATGCCGTGCTGAAGAGGAGGCTGCCGTAGCACGCGCGCGCCAGGCTGAGAGTGAGCGCGCGATGAGGGAACACGTGTGCGCACCCGTTGTTGATACTGTCTTCCCTGGAGTGCTCCTCGATCCTAGGCTCGTGCCTGCCGCCCCACTCACACCAATGGCTGAGGTCAGTGTAGCGATGGTATTGTAAACTATTCTCAACTTCAATGTACATGTAATTAAAAGTTATGTACAAATTTCCATTTTAAATTTAATTTACAGTGAATTTCATTGCCTTTTTTTTTAAGTTTTTTTTGTAAATTACAACGCTGTTTCAATTCCAGGCTAGAAGTGCTGACCCCGAAGTTGTATCAAAATTGAAAAATGAAATAAAAAAATTAAAGGTACATATTTTTCAAGGTCATTATATCCATTAAAATGCTGTAATAAAACTAAAAACTTAACTAATTCCTATTTCTTTATTGTTTGTGGTACAATTTTGCAAATATTTTACACATAAAATGGAATAACAATAAAAGTATTTATGTATATGACAGGAGCAGCTGCGGGTGTCTCAGGAGGAGGTGCGGGGTCTGCGCGGGGCACAGGTGGGCGCTGCTGCAGACCTGCGCCGCGCCTCCAGGCTCGCTGAGACATCGCTCAGGTAACATTTAGTTTTTACTTAATTCAAGACGTCAAACTAAACAAAATCTTACTAATATTATAAATGCCAATGTTTGGATGGATGGATGTTTGTTAGAAGAAAGAACTGCTGCATGAATCTCGCTGAAATGAGATGAGATGTCTACATCTATGCCACATTTCAGCACAACCTGAAAGAACCCATAGATTGATCTTTTGATTTGAGAGTGTGTCGGAGAAGGGTTAATGCTTTAAATCTTAATGTAATAGATAAAATATAATTCTGAATTATTTAAATTTATTTGAATTGTATGAGGTATTTATTGTGTATGGATGCAGAGAGCTATTGGCGGGTCTAGAGCAGCTGAACACTCTGAGCTCGCGGCTGGATCCAACATGATGGGATACAATGAGCAAGATTTATTGTCGCCAACATTCGACTGCTCCGACAACGATCTGACACAATCCCGCCCTTCGCAAACGAACACCAATTCCCGCCTCATCTGACGTTTGCTGTCAAAGTGACGTCTGCTATCTGTCAAAAGTGAGTTTGCGCGGTGACAGCTGACGGCTCTGGAACATTCCATTTGGTGAGTTTGTTTCATTATGGACATAAAGTCTATATTTTTTGGTTAATGATATTAAAAAAGTGAAATTGTTTGATAAAATTAAGAATTGTATTTGTTAATACATATTTTATATAAGTTATCAGGAAGCTTATGAGGAATATTTCAGGGCTGTCAATTCTAACCTCAAAAACTGTAATATTGTTTCAAAATATTGCAGTTTTTTTTTGTAAATTACAATTTGAGATGCTTGAGTATGTCGATGTATAATTAATAACTTAAGTTAGCGGAATTATGTTTTTTTATAACTTAAGAGTTCCTGCAATTCTTTACGATATTTAGTTGTCCATCACAAGTAAATTATTATTATGTATTAAAATTATTGTGATTTTTTTTAATATTATTTAGTTAATTTGGATGTACTTTGAATGTAAAACTTGGTGTTTGTGTTTTAAATGAGGTGCTGATTTGTGTTATTACAATTTGGATGGATATTGTATGGGCACAGATTATAACACTGGTCGCCAACAAAATCCTGCTTTATGAAATTTCTTCATAAATATGGATATTTTATTGCCCTAAATCTATTTATGTTTTTTTATAGACCAGTTTAAAGAATGCATTCTCATGGTGTTTGAAGATAATAAAGATCTGTGTTAGTTATGCGAAAAAATATATATTTTTACAAAAAAAAAAATAGTTTGGTGCATTATCAAGTATAGTGTCAATTTATAAATTTTTAAAAAGGTATTTCACTGTCTAAAGACAGTTTTCATCCCTCTTTGAAACAACTCATTTAATATAGGTTCGAAGTACATATGTCTTGGCAGCGTAAAGATTTTAAAATATATGTAAAAAAATAATATTCACTTCACGGAGTGTTCTAATTCATTAAACTTCAACACGTACATATATTTATTATTTTTGTTATTGCAAACCAAAATTTTGATTTTTTTTTTAAATAAAATGTAAAAAATCGTTAAGATAAATCGATGTTGTGGCTTAAAAGATTAATTTCTGTGTGCTTTTGTATAACACTTATATTTATAAACACATACCGACTACGTTAATAAGTTTTCTATATTATACGTTCACAATAACATGAGACCACCGTCTGATGACGTCACATGAGGTTGCGTATCTTGATAGAATTAAATTATTTATTGCACATAATTGTTTTTTTTTTATTTCTGTGTATTAATTTAAGATATAAATGTAATAGGAATGTTAAATAAAAATACGTTGAAAAATTAGAAATTTTACATAAAAATGTCACCTGATTTTTTTTTAATTTAGGTGGGATTTTTTTGGGACACAGATAATAAAATAATTTACTTTTCAAAAGTTTCTTGTTAAGTATATATTAAATGAGCTTTAGAATTATTTTTGTGTGTCGCGAAGGAATGCACTGTTTTTCATACATTGGAGAAAAAGAAACTTAAATTGTTTAAGTGACGGATAGTTAAATTGTGTCCAATGTGAAAATTTAATTGTATATTATTTTCTTATTGTCAAAATAAGATTTATTTGTAGTGTATAAATATGGAAATATACGTAAAATAAAATCTCGATGTCATTTTATTTGACTTCAATATTTTTCCCTTCATTTTTTTTATATCATAAGGTGGTAAACGAGCGAGCGGCCACCTGAAATCGCTGAAATAGCGAAATGACCGTTGCCCATAGACATACGCAATTGCATATGCGTTGCCTACCTTTCATCGACGGAGGAGAGGATGCACAGTAAGAAAATATTTTCCCTTTCCATGCATCCTCTCATCTGGAAAGTCCACTTCCACTTCCCATCCTTTCTTTATAAGAAAAAGGATGGGAAGGGAAAGAGGACTAAATTAGGCCTCCGGGATGCACACTCATCAGACTATAGTTGGAATAGCTTCCAGTTGACGCGTGTCTTCTGTGTGGTCGTGGTATTTCACCGGGCGAGCCGGGACAATTAGTGTTAAGAAGTTAAAACGGGCTCTACCACTGTTAAGCTCAACACTGTTTTCCGCGTAAATATTTTTTTATGAATCTCGTTGGAAGGAAATTGTGAGATTAATAGAAATAAAAAATATATTTATTATAAAACAAGAATTTAATATAATTTAGGAATGTATAAATAATACTTAATAATTCAGATCAAACAACGATACAAATAAAGAATATAAACTGCTTATAACTCTTTTATTACAATAATAATTTATTAAATAATTTTACTTGACAGAGTCAAGTGTAGAAGCCACTTTTTGCTTAATGAAATTACAAGTCAATCAAGTTCTCTAAGATAGAGAATAAATGGTTACCTAAGGACATCCCTTAGTGTTGATAAAAAACTATCCTAACTGTTGCCCTCAGTCAGTCCTTTAGTACTCTTTCTTTGTGTAGATTTATTATTATAAATCTAAGGGTCGCTTTCAGTTACAAGGCACCTCTAGGGACCAGGCTCCCCCAGTGACAAGGTTTCTCGCTCTGTTCCCCTAATGACCCCTAGTGACGCAGCTCCCTTAGTGACTAATTACGTCTCTGAGTGCAATTAGTGTCTGTGAGCTAGGCAGCATCCATGTTGTCGTAGAGATGGTCCCAGTGAGCAGGACACTGCAGGAAGTACTTGCGGCAAGCTGCACAGAACCTGCGCCTGTATTCCTCCGGAGACACCACAGTCGGCTGACCAGAGCCCAGGTTCTTCTTCACCAGGTGCTCCAGTTTCTTGTCCCATGTGAAGGTACGGATGTAATCTGATACATAGAAATTAAAAAAAATAAAATATGTGTCTGACACTCATAGTTAAGTGGTTCCCTTAGGATAGATTTAATGTGGGAAATCTTTTTACCGTCGTATAATATAAAAAAATCACTGCAAAGTAGTAAAGTGTACTAGAAATATTGAATGTGAGATAGGAGGCGGACGTTGTGTGAGCGAGGAGTGATGGTACCTATGACTCCGAGCACGAGGGTGTGGTTGTGTATGCCGAGCAGCAGGGAGTAGTCCATGACCCCGCTGGCGGCCAGGAATGCTGTGTCACGTCCCAGCGCCGTCCACAGCGCGCAGCACTGGTGACCCGGCACGTACAGCTGCCGCTCCCAACGCACTGCAACACACATGTCCGGCTCGAAGGACCCCTTCTCTTAGGTATTAGGCTTTTCAAATATCTTGGCGGCTCAAGGTTATGCGCGCTGCGCATTCCTCCCCGCCCCTTATCTCGCTACGCGCCGTTACAAAACCTTGTTCTGCACAGCGACTCACAAGAAGTTAAGAGCCACCAAGATATCTGAAAATTACTATACACCCGAAGGAATACATATTTTGAATAATAAAAAATAACACTTAATTTTCGTCTTCAATTTATTGGACGGAAGTCAAAAAATGAAGAAACAAAAATTATTATCCCCAGATGTTGTGAACACACGATTTACTAAGTAAAGGATACTCACAATGTAGCAGGTTGAGGTCGACGAGCACTGTGGGCGCGGCGAGGGACGCGTGCGGGGTGTGGGGGGCGTGTGTGGGGGGTGCAGTGGGCGGGGCGGCGGCGGGCGGGAGGCGGGGCCGCGCGGTGCCCTTCAGGTCGAAGCGTAGTCCCGCAGCGCCGTACCACACGTTCTCCATCACCAGCACGCCGCTGCCGCTCCCGCCCACACTGAACACGCCCAGGATGCGTGCTGCACAACACAACGAAACATCGTAAAGAAAAAAAAATCTATGGTTCCTCTATTTATTAAAAGTAGGCATCAAAATGGCAATCTTACTAATATTATAAATGCGAATGTTTGTTTGAAGGTATCTACAAAACGGCTCAACTGTCTTGCTAAAATTTTACACATATATAAAAAAACATAGTCCAGAAGAACACGTAAGGTAACAATTAAGATTTTTTTCAATTACAAAAACGTTACCTAGGAGACTGGGCTGGTTGTTGAGGCGACAGGAGTTGACGTAGGAGAAGTAGTGCGGCGCGAACTCCAGGAACTGCTGCCATTCCGGCTTCGTCATCTCTTTCAGCACGTAGCGGTCGTCTGCAACATGCATCTCAAGGTCAGCTACATTACACACGGAAGGTTACATGGCAGCGAGGTGTGGTACTGACCCTCAGTCTTGCAGAATGTGGAGCCGGACTTGCCGCCGCGCGCCGCCCACGGCACGCACTGCGCCAACGATCTGATGAACCCCTCCTCCACATCGCACACGTTCTTACCTAAACCGAGATACATTCATAGAAGATAGAGGTTCCATTGACACATATTGTCATCCCTTACACTCTCTTTGACAAAACAGAGACGACAATATGTTTAATAGTAATTTCCAAACTTGATTGGATTACGACCCATCTAACAAAATATACCAATCTGGGACTCACAACTATTACCCCGTTTAACCAAATCATCTTATACTTATGGTATATCCAGTAAATATTCACTCAGTCCTGGGTCACAGTCACAAACTCCCTACCTTAGGGCTAGAAATAGTTACCATCCTTCTCCTTGGCGTGGCAGGAGCATGTGGTGGGCGGGGCGGGTGCTCCGGGCGCGGCCAGCACCGCGTGTCTCAGCACGTGGAACTGCAGCGCGAAGTACACGCGGCACGCCAGACCGTCCTAACACAATACATTTGTATCTACTCCAACTAAAAAACTACGAGACAGTAACTGCTGTCGGTGAAGTAAAGAAACTACAAAACATGTAGTACAATTGATAAACTAAAAAACTACTCGGATAGTTTACTATTTATCATGTAGTTTTTTAATCAGTTGCATGTTGAACTAAAAAACTACACAACAGATGTATGCTAAATGTGAGCGGTAACAAACCTTTAGGAGCACTTCTATATGTTCGTGAGACTTGGCGGCGCTGGATTTTGTTTTATCTCCGTCGTTCTTCTCCTTTCCAGCTGCAGTACTTTCACCGTCTTCTTGTTCACTTTGAGTACTAAAATAAATATATTTACACAGTTAATTAGAGCAATTTCTAATAATAATTTATTAGTAACTCACTGGCAAACTAAATCTTCCGGCAGTAGAGTTCTTACTGACAGTATCAAATCTAATATAACCATATAAAAGGTTATCTTCGAAGACCCCCCCTCAAATAAAGATAAGTGTTCCCCTTCCCCCTCCAATTACATGCTAACAAAAAGTCCTGTCTTCTGTTACCTGTACCGCTGCGCACGCAACGTCTTCTGGTAAGTGAGTGAGGCGAGCGTGGCCGCGATCACAGACCCCACGTCCCCCGCACGCACCAACACCGGCACCACGCCGCTCGACAGTATTATACCGTTCTGTACCACACCGAGATAACAAGTAAATAATCCTCCTACACCACACATGACGTCAGATCTACCCGATTTAAAATAGAGCTTAACTAAAATAACTAAAATCTAGAAATAAATATGTCTATGTCATCCGAGAATAGTGTAACTTTTCAATAGTAAAAGAATTACTCAGAAAGGTTGAGTAGTTTTGGAGTTCCATTAATTCAAACAACTAATTAATTAGTTTTTCTTTATAATATTAGTATAGGTAGGACGCAGAGAAGAACAGCTCACTAGCGCCCCTCTCGCATCATCAAAAAATGTCACAAAATCGTCTTTTTACTGTATCTGTGTTGTCTTTTTTTATTTTCTATGTGTAAGTAGGTTTTATATATATACTGAGAGAACCAACCACGATTGTTCCGATATTCTTGATTGACTATACGCGTTAAAAAAAATACGGACGAATTGTTAACCTCGTTCTTTTTGAAGTCGACTGAATACGTACCTGATTGGCTTGTTGGTTACTGGACAAAAGTTGTGACAGTATCTGTTTCACGGTTTTCTTATCGCCTTTCTCCTCGTCCTCTTCTGTACCTGATTAAATATTAGAAATTTTTATACACGGAAATCTCGACAGAGGGCAAAGAAAAAAAAACAATTACCTATATTATGTTCTTTGTCTATTTCTTTTGATATACTATCTGAAAAAATTAAAAAGCCACAATTCGTGAATGCGAAAAAAAAGAAAAAAAAACTTCTGAATATTTTTTGTACCTGAGCTATCGTTGGCAGCAGTTTCGACACTCGTGTCATCAACTTCTTTGTCTTCTTCTATAAGAAAATTTAAAATTGTGCATATATTATTCAAAAAAGTGTACTAAAATAAAAATAAACCAACCCAACCCCAATTAAAAAAATTTATATTTACAAGAACATATAGTGCATAAAAAATATTTTTTTACAAACATTTATCATTGTAATTTGAACACTAAGACGTAGTACTTACGGTTGAGTTCAGTTTGCAGTTTGTTCTTAGAAATAGGACTGGACCACTTGTCCTGCGCGTCTCGCAGCATTCGCTCTCCAGTTATCATATTATCTGACACGTTCCATAGGTTACGAACTACGCCTAAAATTAAAAAAAAAGGACACAAAAAACTTCAACCAAATAATAGTCGAGTTAATTACTTAACAGTGAGTTTTTGAGACTCTTACTAATATTATAAATGCAAATGTATGGATAGATGTTAGAAAGTATCTCCAAAACGGCTGCATGGATCACGCTGAAATTTGACTTAGCACATATTCTGGAAGAATACATAAACTACTTAATATTTTTTTTCAATTCTGCGGGGACGAAGTCGCATGCAACGGCTAGTTTCTGTATAAAATATATCAAGATTCCTGTCATTACCTTTGACAAGAGATAGCGATATGTTTTAAATAGAGTTGGTCTCAGAAATCAACGGTTAATCAGAGATTCTCGAACTATTTTACTATAGAATTACTGTGAATACTTTGGTGCTGTACATTTTGTCAACTTATGCCTTCCCAAATTTACTTCCCAATATCGATCTTAAAGACTTTGGGAATCACTGGTTTAAAGAGATACTTTCAAAAAGAGTGTGAAGAGCGAAATAGAAAGAGACAGTTGTTGTGGTGTTGTCAGTGTTCGTGTGTGTGAGTGAGACAGAGATGTTTGTGTTACTTGCTAGTGTGACGTGTTCGTGCAGGCTGGCGGAGGTGAGGGCGAGGTGTATGTTGTCCATGTGATGGCGGAAGGCGGAGTACTCGCGCTCCTTCTCCTCCACCTCGCCCGCAGACACACTGCTGAATGTCTCGTGACCTAATAGTATCAAGCGATATTTATTATTATATCCTATACAACACGAACACAAAACTGTGCAACAATAAAAGTTTGGATTTTATAATTTTAATAAAGAGATAAAGAATCTTGCTCCCTTAAGTCCCTGATCACCACGTTAGGGGAACGAGAGGGCGGCATAGCGCCGCCCAAAAAAAAACTGTGCAACAAACAAATTTACAGTTTAAAATACGTTATGGTCCTTCGAGTCGGATTATAAGTTTAAATATCTTTTAAATCCTACTAATATTATAAGTGAATGTTTAGATGGATGGATGTTTGTTTGAAGGTATCTACAAAACGGGTGAACGGATCTTTATGAAATTTATCATACATATAGAGCATAGCCTGGAAGACCACATAGGCTACTAATTATGTTTTTTTTTAATTCCGCGCAGACAAATTCTTGGGCGACGGCTAATTAATTATAAAATATAAATGTCAAATATAAATTTAAACATGAATATTAAGGAAACCAATGATTTTATCACTATTATAAAAGTCTACCTTTGAGCATGAGTTCATTGAGATGTGCTATAAGATTGTCGCGCATGCGCTTCGTGTCGTAGTTGATGGAGATGACGTCAGGCGGCAGCTGGATGTCGTACATCGATATCTTGTTGTACCTGTCACAAATATATACTGGATGAGATTCAATATTATAAAACAAGAATAAACAACAATCTTATAACACTATCTTAATTGCAAGGAAAATGGCGGAATGATGATGATTCTTATAAAAGTCACTAAGGCTTTTAAGGCACCTCTATAGGCCTTCTAAAGCCCTCCTAAGGACCCTAGAACGTACAAAGTTTTAAGAAATTATTCATACCTAATTTTTTGTGGTTAAAAATATCAAATTGAAAAAACCTAAATACCATACAATAAGTCTAAAAATAGTGTTCCTTGGTGTTAGAGAAATCTGAAAAGAATCTACATAAAGGGTGTCCCTAAAGTGCGAGAGGTGCACTCACCTGAAGCACGCGGTGGTGAGTCGCGCGACGAATGCGTGCGCGTGCGCATGCAGCGGGTGCGGACAGAGGCGGCGGCGCACGTAGCGCGTCGCGCTCAGCCGCAGTCGCATGTACTGCGCCAGAGACAGCGACAGCGCCAACCGAGACAACCGCCGCCCGCCGCACCGCGCGCCGCATCTCTCGCACCGCGTCCACACGCGCACCTACATATCACTACTATACTTAGCACTCCGACAATGGTATACGGAAGTCGAGTAACCTCTATTTAATGGACAGGTTAGGTCGAACAATGAAGGCAATCCGGCTAATATGCTCCGAGAACAAACGCAGGACAGAAGATAGAGCGAACTGATGGGGCACTGTGGACGCCCTTAAGCCCGACTACGGGGACATAGGACTTTAAGCCAATTTAGGCCAAACTGTTTATCAAATTAAAATTGCATCATAGGACAAAAATGAGAGATATTATACAGGAGGTTGCAAATATAAGATTGAATATCTGGATATATTTGTTTTGGAGCACTATGTTGACTTTATAATAAAGGTTCGTTTCATAAAATCTAAGATTTTACAGACACCCTGTATATCGAGATTACTCATTTTGGCATTTTATTATTGTACAAAATACCAACCGATTTCTTATTATTTTTTTAAAAATATTAGTAGTTTTTTTTTGTAAATTTACTAATATTTCTTTTACCATTCCAACTAAGCTGTAAGCTTGTGCTAGGATATGATCTACGACAATAGTCGAATGGCGGGATTCGAACCCCCGACCTCGTGATCGGAAATCTAGGCTAAAAATTGATAAAGAACCTTATGACATATACATTACCTCTGTGGAGTGATGTTTGTTGTTGTCGACATTACTGTGACCTATCGTGTTGCACGTTATTGTGATGCAAGCATCGCCGTGCACGAACCTACACACATGTAATGTTAGTTATATGTAAACATATATAAAAAACAGCTAAACACTCTCCTATATTCGTCCGGTGTCGGCACCGACTAGTTTCGAATACATCGGGGGCTCTTCACCAGGGTGAGTGGGTGAGTTATTTCGCGGACGCGGCCCTCAGCTCAGCAGCCGATGGTCCCGATGCGCTAGAAACTAATCGGTGCCGACACCGGACGTTTACGAGAGTGTTTAGCTTTTTTTTGTATCAGTTGCATATAATGTCTCACAAAATTAGATATATGTATTAAATTACATATAACATTACTTGAAAAACAATAATAACCACGCAGAAATAAAAATAACATAAAACACATTAAAAAATATTTCGTTCTATAACTTTTGATAATTAATATTTATTTTTATATAAAAATAAATATTAATTTTAATTTTCCGCTCAAATATTCGTAACTCTATGGACATATCAAAGATTAAATAAACAAAAAGAAAGTCGTACTTTATGAATGAAACATAGATTTATGAATATTACCAAAATACAATAAAAATTAAAAAAAAAACCAAATTATTGTGTATTACGTCAAAAGTCGTAGAATAAACTTCCTATGAGATTATTAATGTTTTACAAGTATATGTTCACGAGCAAATAAAAAAACAACATTGATAAAAATATAAGTTTCGTTCTAAAAGAACTATATGGCGCTGCGCTATTTAAGTGCACGCTAGCGTTTGATTTTACTGTTTTGTTGTGATTGCGCTTAACGCTAATTAAATGACTCATCCACCCGACCTTTTTTGTATCATTTATTAACAAGGGTCCCGGGGCTTTTTGGGTTCCTGTACAAAAGAAAAGAAGAAAGAAAGAAGTGTTGGGAATAAAATCCGACACTGTGCCGGTGTACTGGCAACACTAGCCTTACTAAAATATCGACGTTTATGTCCCCTCACTAATCATTCTGACATTTGACTTTGTAACAAAAGCACGTCATTCAGGTCAAAGGATTCTAATTAATAATGTCTAAAAGTAATAAATAAGAGACCTCCTGAGATGTCTGTTCATGGGCACTTGACAGTTGGCGGAGGGACAGCGGTGGTCACCGTCGAAGCAGTGCCGCTCGAGGAACGCCCCCAAAGAGATGTCGTGACGTCCGTACATCTCCATTGTTACTATCCTAATAACATTTGTTGATATTTTATCATTTTTTTAATATTTACAATTTTTTTGTTGACTATTTTTGCCGTCTATGTCAAATTACAACGAGATCCATACAGCTGTTCCAGAGACACCCTCTATCAAACATCAATCCATCCATCCATCCAAACATTTGCATTAGATTACATTAATTAATAATTTTTTCATATACAATATATATTTTTTATATTTTTTTACTTTCGTAATATTATGTTGTCATGACAACTGATCTCGTACCATGGGTTGACACAGAAGTCTGGTACATTAGCAGACTTGTCGCTGCAGCTGTACAGCAACAGGCTTAGACGCTGGTGCTGCTCGGGGGCGAGGGGATCTGGCACCGCCCCCGCCCCGCCCTTGGCCCCGCCCTCGCCGTCCTCCTCCCCCTCCCCCTCACTTTCCGGGGGCTTCACCACTGACGGCTTGTATTGGGGACATTCCGCTGGAGATATAATAACAAATCTAGATCATACTGAATTAATACTAAATGCTGGATTCAGATTTAGTCTTTAACATAAAAGAGGGCGCTGTTGACAATAATTTTTTTGTCACACACACTACCTGATTAATCGTATACAACTGTAAAAATATATTTACAGTTCTTATTAAGTTTTGTCTTGAAAAATATATTTTTTTTTATATAAAGGTGGCAAACGAGCGAGCGGCCACCTGAAATCGCTGAAATAGCGAACTGACCGTAGCTCATAATAAATAAATTATGCCTCCGGGACGCACACTCATCAGACTGCACGCGGAATAGCTTCCACTTGACGCCTGTCTTCTGTGTGGTCGTGGTATATCACCGGGCGAGCCGGGACTATTCCAGCGAACATGTTAAAGCGGGCTCTAACACTGTTAAAATTAATTGTATAATAAGAGAACTAACGTTTATGTGTGCCATTGGCTACACGTGCTCCAGTCGCGCGGTAGTTGGCGAGTGCGGCGCGCAGCCGGGGATCCTCTGCTGGGCTGCTGATTGCCATCTTGATGAACGGATGAGGTTCCTATAACATTCAAATAAAAAAAAATAAGTAGCCTATGTGTTTTTCCTGATTATGTTCTACATATATGGCAAATTTCAACGACATCCATAAAGCCTTTCTGAAGATAACTTCTAACAAACATCCATCCATCCAAACATTCGCATTTATAATATTAGTAAGATACCATGAATATTAAGGATCTGGCTGCTTATTGTGGGAAAGAGAGAGAAAGGTAATGGGTAAATGTAAGAGATAGATAGAAGTGTACCTTGAGTAGTAGGTGCGTGTGTTGTGGGCGTGTCTGTGGGCGGCGCTTGGGGCGGGGCGTGTGCGGCGTGTGGGGGGGCGGCACGCGCAGCGGCAGTCTCGGTGCTGGGATCACGATGTTCGGAGACATCGAAAGCACCGCGTCATCTGTACACCATCTGTATCATATATTAAAACTATGGGTTTCAAAAACATTCACAATATAACTAAATAAGTCTAATAAGACCGCTATGTCATTTTATATCGTATAGTAAATTCTACCTTTCGCTATGGGAATCAGCTTTTAATTCCGCTTCTTCATTAGGTAAGAAGACCTCATCATCCATGGACAATGTCGCACGTAATGGGTCACTGAAATCTCTAATTGGGACTCCGCAACTCAAATTCTTATCACCATCTGTCTTCCGACCTGAGGGTTTCATCACTTCCTCATTATCATCTTGCTCTTTAAGACTTTCTTCGTTCTCTTTAATATTTTTCACTTCTTTATCATTCAGTTCACTGGTAATAGATTTAGTATCAGTTTTGTTCCTTGTGAATAGTTCTATATTAGAATCTTCCATATCATCTATTATATTATCAGTTTTCCCACTTTTATTCACATCCATTGATTTATCTTCTTCCTTAGGTTCATTAAAAAGACTCTCCTTCTCTTGTCTCTCATTTTCTCCTTGTACATCCGTCTCACTCGCACACTCAGCTTCCTCGTCACCGAAAGACATCCCAGGTTCGGGAAGCACCGCCTCTATGTCAGCCAGGAACGCCTTCTCGAATTTCCAGTTGTAGAATGCTAATAGCATGAACTTGACCACCTTCTTGACTCTGACCAGTTCAGCGAGAGAGGCACCTCGTAGTAGGATGCAGCAGCCGAGGTGTGGCTCCGCGCAGCCTTCTAATACCATTAGAGTTTTGCCTGAGACTGAAATTTTGTAAAAAAAATCTACTTAATTATATGTCCCTTTTATTGTTACCAATAAATATTACTTCTTGGTTTTTTTTTTATTAAATATTTTCACATTACAAATATTAGGTGAATGAAATAAGACAAGCCACAAGTATGGTAGTGAAGAATGACTAACAATTCTTAACATAAAAGTGGTTAGCAGTTCCGAGTCGCGGTGTGGCGATCCTGGCATCGACACTGGCGACGAGGTCTGCGTGTGCGCAGCGTGCGGCGCGGCGCAGTGCACGCTCGCGCACGTTGGAGGCGAGCGCCACGCCCGCCGCACGCAGCGCGTCCTGCACGCCGCGCGCCGCACCGCCGCGCACCAGCACCACCTTGGGCCGCAGTGCGGTTATACGTGCCGCACAACGCACTAGATATTCCTGCTCCTAAATAAACAATATTATATCTAACACAACTCAAAATTCATCCCCACTATGTACTCGTAGAGTGTTTTCCGATTTACATATGTATCCTATGTTCTTACGGTGAAGAAAAATATCGTGATGCTGCAAATATCTAAGAGGAACTTCAAAGATATGTAAATCAACCCGCACTGACCTATGTTTGACTATGGCCTAGTCACCCCTAACTTAGGATAGGCTCGGAGCCTTTTAGAGAGGATGTATAGAGTGAGGTGATGATGAGTAAGTAGAGGGGGGGAACTAAGAGTTCGAGCCTATATTAGGGAAAATAATATCTTACTAATCGAAGGTATCTCCAGAGCAGCTAAACGAAAACCTTGTGTTCTGTGTGTGTGTGTGATAGATTTCATAAGTGTTTGTGTACCTGCATGAGGAGTGGCTCCAGTGAGGTGAGCTTGCCCTCGACGCGCTGGTACGCGATGGAGCAGTCCAGTAACAACACTGTCGGGTTGGAGATCTCCTGCGGCATGCCTCTGTACATCAAACATACTTAGCAGTCCTTCGAGTCGGATACAAGAAAATTACTAACTCTGACTTAAAACTCTGTTCTGTCAAAGATAATGAGAAGAGAGACTGGTCTCAGAAACTGAGGTCTTTTAGCTATTAACATATCGTAACAGGAAAAATGTCAGAAGATAGATTTTTATGAATAAATGACATAAAGACAAAGTGATAATAACTAACATAAGAGAGGGAGAGAGAGAGAGAGAGAGAGAGAGAGAGAGAGAGAGAGAGAGAGAGAGAGAGAGAG